TTGACTCAAAGTTACTATGGAACTCTTTGATAGTAAGGCGGCATCAAATGCACTGAAATCGAATCGGATTGACTCCAAATTAGTTTGGAACTCTCTTCAGAATCCGATTTGTATCGGAAAAGTAACAAAGTAAGTTACTCTGGGTGCCTGAGCATACTGGTATTGAAGGGAACGAAAAAGCGGACCTACTTGCCAGGGGAGTAACAAAGAAACATTCATAAGACCAGAATCTTCCGTTGGCATAGCAAGAAGCACAACCAAAACAATACCGGATTGGGTGGAACGGATGGTACGACCAAATGGATCTCAAACATTCAAGGTTTTTATGCATGAACGTTCGAAGAAGAAATCCAAAGATCTGCTAGATGTGAATAGGAATTATCTGCGAATTATCGTAGATCTCCTAACAGGAAACTGTCGCATCACAGGGAATAAAATAGAACTAACAGAAAATGCGAATTACAGATTTCGTCAGGCTGAGGACGAGACGGCGTAACACGTTCTGTGCAACTGCCCATGACCGAATAGTATAAGGCTCTTAAGATTTGAGTATTATGAAGTCGAGCCCTATAACTGCGTCGAAGTGTCACCAAAGGCCATAATAAACTTTGTTAAAAAGGATGAGCTGAAATGTCTACTCTAACTAAAACCAGAATAGACCTGTTGGTTTGAGTGGAAGGGTGGTTAAGCGTCCTTCTTATTTAACCTAATCTAACCTTTCTATGAGCCCGAAACGAAAAAAAAAAACGAGATAGGTGTTTCACGAAGTTAAAAAAAAGTAATCCGCGTTTGCAGCGTTGTCAAATAAACGGCCGAGAGATATTTGAAAAAAATAAGCATTTTACCATGATTTCGTTAGAGCATGGCAAAACCATCGAAGCTGAATGGTTTACAACAGTTTTCCAGAAGTGATTGATGAACTAAGCAAAAACAACCGGAATCGTCGCATTAGGACAATGCCAGCTCTCACACGGCTGGTATAACATCCGAATACTTAAAGACAAAAGACATCATTTTGATGGGCCATTCTGCATACAGTCCGGACTTGACACCGTGTGATTTTTTTACGTTCCCGAGAACCAAAAACAAACCTTGCAGTAAACGTTTTAAAACGCCAGATGGGGCATACAAAAATCTCATTACTGATATACAATAAAGCTAATTCTTCAATTTGAAAAACAAATTTGATTTTCACAATATATTTGTCTACTCTAGAATAGAGTCTCTATTCGGAAAAGAAAATCTAGTCAGATATATAAAGGCCAATGGACTCAGATGGGCAGGACATGATTTACGCAGTAACGACAATCGCCTTATAAACAATGTGTTCTGTAGGGCGGCCTAGAAAAAGGTGGAAAGATGCAGTCAGCGAAGATTGGAGTGCGACAATGGGAATTACTGGCACAGGACCGACAAACATGGAACGCAATAGTAAACGCGCCAAAGACTCACGAAGAGTTGTAGCGCCATTGATGATGATGATGATGAATTTATGAAAAAATTTTAACGTATGACTCATAATAGACGGGAAATTAACATATGCGTCCGCTTAATGCCTCAACGTTCATAATATTTCAGATTTTCAGACACTGAAAAAAATTGTCTGTCACAACAATGTTAAATAATCCAGTAAGTTAGAGCTTGCTATTTTTTTCTTCGACTTCAAAAGTTGATGGAACGTAGACGAGAGTATAGATCCGATTAAAATATGCGGAATGACCGCTTGAATCGTTTAAGTTTCAATGCTGGGGTTAAAACCACTTAATAGCAACTTAGCAGTTCTTATATCTTGGATTAGAAGATTAAGAAAAAGATTAAGCGAAAGTTTGAAAAAGTTTTTCATAAAAAAGCGTCGTATCTACAAAACCAGGAAACAAATATGAGAATATTAAGCAAATAGTTTCATTACTATTAAAAAAGTTTACTTATAGATTTTCTCGCTGTATTCGGACAAATTTTATGTGTATAGAATATTGCTAGTTCAAGATCAGTTAGGTTTCTACTGTTTACATTGGAATCTTTTCGACGTTATTATTCAAATAAAAACTGTTTGTTACTGACAAACCAATTTAATTTTCAAATATCCATTCTATTTGCGTCGGTACTTAAATCCATATACGTTGCCAAGATGTATCTTGTTCAAATTTATCTGAGGCAAAACGATATATTTATGCTAGGCATTTGTATTATAACCGAAAAAAAGCATTCTAGATAAAAATGCAAAAACAAAAATAAAAACAAAAACTGTCAAAAATAACAATCTCTAAAAAGTTTTCTTAAATAAGCAGGAAGCCAGCGAAAAAAATTGGTTGCACAAATCCTGCTAATATTGTAACATATCTTTAAATACAGCATCTTCAAAATTTCTTAACTAAATCGTCAAAAAACTTACATCAAATGGAATAAAATATAAACATCGATAATTAGAAAAAAATAAAACTACCAATGATCTAAACAATAGGTAATATCTTGTGTTAAATGTGTAATATTCATTATATACAGATTTATACTTAGAGCATATTAAAATAATTAAAAAGCCATTTGAATTAATAAAATATTATTTAATTAGGTAATGGAGATTAAATTTTAATTATATAATGATTTAGAATACAATGGCGAATTATCTGACGATACAAATAACCCAAGATTGACGTTAAAAATACGTAATGTGTAAGCGCTACAACAAAAAACAAAAATGTATCTAAATATAAAACTATTTAAGTCTACGTTAATTAATTATTTTTCAAATTCATAGATTAATGACGTAACTAAAGTATCATATTGTTTTGAAAGTCTCTTAATAGTTAAATTTGAAGATTATAACTTTTACTCAAACGTCAATGAAAATCACCATTATTCAAATATAACTGTTTTTTTTTACTTAAAATCACTTTTCACTGATTTATATTTTAGAAGATTTATATGTATTAATTCTAGAAGAAGAAAAAAGAATAAACAAAACATCACTAATGGCAGTTTTCAACTAAACGGACAAAACACAAACTGGTGTCGAATAAAACAAAACTACAATGTAAACATTTTTAAAATTGGCGTGTTTTGCGACAGTTGGAGCTTTGTTTTTCGGGTCCAGCTCGAAAGCGGTATCATCAAAAGGTTTCGACATGTTTTGAAGGGAAGGACTGGATTCTGTTCAGTGGAAACAGTCATCTTGTGTTTTTTGTTGTTGCCTTACTATAAGTTATTGTACGTTGAGTTGTTTAGACGCTATAAGCATCCTTTTGGCAATACAGCTTCATGTTTTTTTCTGTGTTAACGTATTCGTTACCCCCTCCCCTTTTCAATGATACCTTGCACGTTGTTGTACTTTGAGCCGTTTAGACGCTACAAGCCTAGTGTCCTTTTGGCAATACACCTTCATGTTTTTCTGTGTTAACGTATTAGTTACCCTCTCCCCTTTTCAACGACACCTTGCACGTTGTTATATGTTGAGCCGTTTAGACGCTACAAGTTTAGTGTCCTTTTGGCAATACGCCGCCATCTTTTTTTTGTGTCCACGTGTTTGTTGGCCCCTCCCCTATATGGTTTCGCTCACGACTAACAGTTCGGAACCATGCTAAGTTACGCGTTGGTCGGTAATTAGTTATTGTTTTGTCTCGGAGAATTTCTCCACGTGTTTGAATGAAACTTAACGGATCCTGTCTGAAAGTAAAGTTTTAGGGAATATAGAAATTTGTAACTGATGGATTCGACCGTTACTTCAGTTTATATAGCAATAAAACATTGAAAACTTTTGTTTTCAAAACTTCCACAAAATTTATTATATTATATTATCACTGCAGCTGTTGCCATCCTTAAATGATCTATTTTTGGCATGCGCTTACACTTTATAGTCTTCAACTGAAAGGACTGTTTGTCTCAAAATGGTAATTTAGAATTGTCTGTATTTTTTAATTTGTTAATTTCCATATATTCTAATAAAGATGACGCCTTTATTTTAAATGTGAAGAATTTGAAATGGTTCATTAAAAGAATGATTATGGTATATAAGGTGAAGTGCGTACGTGGAATCTGTTTTCCTATTATTAAAAGCCCTTTTGTGCTCTGCTATTCGTTTGTTAAAGGTTCTACCAGTTTGACCGATGTAAGTTTTTGACCAGTCGCCACATTTAAGTTTGTATACACTACTGTGGAGGTGCTCCTTCTTTTAGCTTTTGTCGTTCTTAATATATTTGCCTAAGTTGTTGTTTGTTCCGAAGGCTGGTGTTATTCCTTTCTTTTTTATGTGTTTGCTATTTTTGTTGATATCTTGTCTGTATAGTTAATCGAGTAGGAGATACTGGGATTTTTAGTGGTAGGGTAACAGAAAAAATAAAAAACATAATTTAACGATATCAACCCAAAAGAAGTTATTAAAAAAAACATCTGGTGAAGGACAGCATTTTACTCCCAAGTGGTTTGGTTATAATGCAATGAGTTTTAGGCATAGCGCAAATATACCCTTTTTTAAGGACAAAAATAAAAACAATACTCGAACAAACTCGCTTTTATGGAAACAAAAGTTTCGAGTTTGTTCCAGTTTTGTTTTTGTTTTTCAAGTTCTAGAAAACAGAACCAAAACATAAAACTCAACTGTCCATTTAGAGTAAAATCGCGTAAAAGATGTGGGTGACAAAGTTATTGAACGGCATTCAGGTGGTAAAATAAGGGATAGACATATAGATACCTTAATAAAAAGAATTGAAAAAACAATAATTTAAAAAAGACCGAAATCACGTATGTATGTATTCTTGTAATTGGAAATCCTCCCGCTTCATTCATAAACTAATTTTTTCTGCTTTTCGTTGATCTCTAAGTGCTCTCTGATCCCTAACAGTTAAATATTCTAATTAACGTAGACTAATCGACATATGAATATTACATCATCAACACAAATCACAATTACATTAAGTCGATTCAATAAAAAAAATATCTATCATGCTAGGTGAGCAAAATTTGGGATGGTACGAAAAAATAAAGAAATATATAAAGAATAGACTTACCTCGTCAAAGAAAACTTGCGTCTTACGTAGGATTTGTTTTAGTTCAGTCAGTTCCAAGAAGTTTCTTTTGAGAGCTTCGGCGTTTTGGTTCACCTCCCGGAGTTCGTTTTCAAGCTTTTCAAAGGTGGCCTAAGGATAAAAATTTTGGTTATGCGATGAAAAATGGGGGAAAATGTTATAGAAATTGAAGTCAATGGATATGAAGGAAAAATACAATACTTAATAATTTTTTAATTATCACTTGTAATGCAGAGGCGGCTTCCCTAATTACATTTACCCATAAGTTTTTATTTTGGTTCATACCAACATCAATCCCCGTTACCAAAATGTCCTGCTTAAGCGTCTTCCCGCAAATCTTATTTAATCTTTCTCTCCTACTCCATCCAGGAACCCGCAGATCAGCAATCATTCGTTCACCGTGTCCTCAATTGAGGACAGTGATTTACCCCTGCAACACATTGTCTTCGATTATGGACATCCTATTTCGTCCAATGAGTACTTGTGCTGCCATCTAACGGCTTTTGAACAAAATATTTAATTTGTTGAAATATAGGTTTTTATAGTTACTTATGACTGATGTAACAATTGGTATTAAATGTGTCGCATGGTGGTGATAAATAGTAGAATTTGTTAAAAATCTATTAATGGCGATTTTACTCAAAATTAGCTACCACGGATTTTCTGAAAAGCGTGTACTCGTTCGTGGACGTTGTGAGTCAACGGAAAAATTAATTTTTAGGTAAATATATCCTCATTTTTTTGTTGCATAGTGTAAAAAAATAAATATTTTAGAATAGGACTAGAAAATAAGTTCAATGAGGCCCTTAACGGACGTGGAGTTCTTGCGGTTGATCGAAAAAGTACTATCTGATATTGAATACATGAGTGACGAAGCCGAAGATGGTGCTTGGGAAGAACAAGCAAATAAACATATATGAACAATAATGTTGAGGAGCAGCTCACAGAACTGAAATTGCAAGATTATGTTTGAAGAACAGGAAACTGAAGCATCTGAAGCAATATAGCTTGTTCATGAAGAAGTTGAAGAAGAATCGCAGCCTAGAGTTTCAAAACAAAGTAAAATGGAGAGAATAAATGACTTAAATAAGTGTCTAACAAAAAAAGGAGATATCGAGTGGAGAAAGAACATGACATACTTAACCCCACAGATACATTGGTATGAGGAAGCCACTTCTAACGTCTGTTAACTTGAAAGTCCTTATCATTTTTTCATATTTCACTGATGATCTTTATGAAGAAATGGCCGCATATACTAATTTGTATGCTGTTACAAAAGACAATAGTTTTTATTCAAAACTAACTTCTCCAAAATTTACATTTTGTGAACATTGATGAACCTGCTGATGACAGATGGTGGGAAGCGAGGCCTTTCCACACTCCTGCCTTTCCTTGCCTCTAGAAATGCAAGATATCTCAGATACGCGGATGATACGGTATTTACGGCTGCCAATGAAAAAGAGTTGGAACGACTTATAAACAGGGCAAACAGGGTGACCGAAACATGTGTTGAATATGGGCCAAAACTTAATAATTCTAAGACAAAACTTAGTTGCAACCAATGAACGTCAGAGCGTATGGAATAGAGTTAGGACGAGTCCACAATATTACCTATGTATACCTGGGATATGAGCAAATAATAAGAATACGAATTGAAAAATCCAGAGCCGTCTTCTATAAACTAAAGAAAATTCGTATTAATAGAGATATTACATTGAACCTTAAAATCAGACTAATACGCGACTACATATTCTCTACATTGCTGTATGGCATGGAGAGCTGGATTCTTACAGAAACTCCAATGAAAAAACATAATGAGAAATCCAGAGATGTATAACCTTCTACCCCTTATAATACAGGGCAAGATTGGCCGAAGAAGAACATCCTGGGTTCGAAATCTCCGAGAATGGTATCAAGACATCCGCTAATATGTTTCTCGAGTTGTCGTAAACAAAGTTATTATTGCCAATATTCGATATTCAGAGTTCCAAAATAAGAAGATAAGTCTTTTGCATATTCCTATCATTTGGTCGATCCATCTTGTTTTGGATCTTCCTCGTGACCTTGGGCTTTCTACCTTTCCTTGAATTATCGGTCTTTCCATGATTTCTGCATCTGCTCTCATAATATGTCCAAATTATTTTAATTGTTAGAGACGGACTTTGCTGGAGAGCCGTTTGCTGACTTACCTCATTCAAAATTCAATTATTTATACAATGATCGGTCCAAGAAATTCGTAAAATTCTTATCCAACAGAAAATCCAACGGAAAAATGAATAAAAATAAACTTTAAAATAATATAGCGAAGTTTCTATTTAAAGTACAAAACTTTTTTATATCTCTACTCCGACTATAAGTCTACTCCGTATATTTCAAAATGATTCAAAATGATTTTAAAAGGGTCTACAACTTTTGTATAATAGAATGTTATAAGTATAGAGAGCTGTTCACTTAACTTACATAAAGAAACCTGTCCAGTCGAACAAAATGTATATTGTATAAAACTCTGATCACAACGTATGGCTCCGAAACATGGACACTGATAAAGCATACTCTATACTGACGAATCGTTAGGAGGGTTCGAGCGTAAAGTACTGCGCAAAATATGCGATGAAATGGTGCGATATAAATGATATAACTTTGAACTGTACAGTCTCTAAGAACCCACATATATAGTAAAAATAGTAAAGATTGGTGGCCATGTGCTAAGAATGAACCCTGGAAACCCCCACCAGAATATCTATGTTCCAAAACCCGGTAGGATGTAGAACTAGAGGAAGATATAGACATTTGGCATTCGAGGATAAAGAGGAAAGGCATTTGATAGTGATGAATGAGAGGACGTTCTGAAGCCGGCCAAGGCCCACAAAGGGCTGTAGATCCACGATGATGATTATATATGATAATTTTAGTATAAACCGTTTTTCAGTATCTTCCTGAGATATCCAACTCCGCATTATTGAAGTTAAATACACTGGATATTCTTGTATTTGTTTTTTTTTTTTATATAAGCAGACAAACTACTACTCGATTTACTTGATTAATTTTGTTTTCGACCCTCGCTTGGCAGAATATTTATATTCCAAGATAATGTCTACCTCCTTGCCAATAATTGATCAACATATATATCATTTTGTTCCTATATGTCTAAGGTAATTACAAACCAGCAATTCTTAACAAAAATTTGACATGCAATAAACTAATAGTTCAGAACACCTCATTATTTTTCAAACGAAAAATTGAAATATTTACTCATTGCAATATAATTATCGGTTTACAAAACCAAAAGCAATTATAATAAAATTTGTCCTTGGCTGTTGAAACTTTTTGTCTAGACTTGACTCACTATCAAATTAGCGAAGTAGAAAGAATTTATTAAAAACAGGTGAATTACAAATAAGTTTAGTCAATAGTGTATAATACTGATCTTTATATCCGTAAGAACTTTCATTAAATGACGGTGCAACTAATTTCTATTGTTTGACGTATGAATTACACATACTGCTACCAGTAATGATCAATAAAGTCCTTATGTCACACTTACAAAATCAAAATTATAATCACGCCCGCGCGGGGCGCATATTTACACATGCTCTCCGATACGTCGGCGCTGAAAATGCTGAAATCAATGAGCCTTTGATACACACTAGTACGCTACAAACGCTTTTGTCTAAGTTTTTATTGCAAGTAACATTTTAATAAATAATACACACATTTGTTGTTATTGTAAGCATTTTATGTATTTTTTTGATAACAAAATAACAGACGCTTGAATCCCTAACCCAAGAAACAAATAAAACAAAAACTATAAAAAAACACCGACGAATAAAAAACAAATAAATATTTTTTTTATTTATTTATAAGTACAGATATAACTGTTTATAGTATTTAGTATTATTATTATTATATATAAAAGTATAGGTGGTTACTTATAACTGGACACAACAAAACAGGGATTCAAAAAGGGGAGATTTCCACAGCACTTAGACAACAATTGACCCATTGGGCATCCTCCCAGGGAGCTGTCGCCCTTAGCTCATAGCCATCCTGCCATTTTTATGAAGGTGAACAAGTCACCAGGAGACATCTCCATTATGTGAGCAAGTGTGGGCCAGGACTCGCCGAACGCGTACTCTCGTATTAACGGTAACTCCAGGGATTCACATAGGACACGCTCTACAGTTCCATCTTCTCGTTTATACTTTCTACATAGAGGTGTGTCTGCTAGCCCCAGTGTGTGGAGGTGTTTGCTTAGTTGACAATGACCAGTTAAAAAACCAACTGCCAAACGTAGATTTTTTCTGGTCATTCCCAAGTACTTCTTTGATGCTGACTCTTCAAGGTTCCTTAGTGTTACCCTGTCAAGTCTACATCCTTGACCTTCTTCCGATCTTTTTACGGTTTGCGTATGGGAGTGACATTTGACAATTTCAGGAATTGTTGTAGTTTACCAACCAAAAAGATCCCCAGGTCCTAAGAGTCGTAGACCTGCCGCCTTCCTAGCAAATTGGTCAGCAATGCGGTTGACTTTATTTCTATCGTGTCTTTTAACCCACTTTTATCATTCAGGATGATGGTATTACCATCCGAGGCATGAGTTAGTGAATAGTGTCACACCATTACTAACCCTGATGTGGAAAGTGGTCTATTTAAGGTTAGTAGTGCTTGTCTGCTATCTGTGCAGATTATTATAGTCTTCCCAGCTACACCTTTTCGAGTTATCTCTTTTGCGGCTACGGAGATACCAGCCAGTTCTGTCTGAATTACGCTGGCATTTTTGTCTATATCCCACTTTATTCTTAGGTTCAGTATATACGCAATAGGCATTTGCCACGTTTGTCTCCCTATACTGTCTTGTTTCGATTTTATAGGGTTTGTTAAAGACAAACTTTGGTTCAATTGAGTCGCAGCTTGCCTGTAGCAGTGGTAACGCATCCAGCTCTCCCCGCCAGAAACGAGTTCTCAATTGTCCCATTTTTAGATCAAGGATTGCAACAGCTGAGCGCAGTCGCACCATTGTCACCGGCGCCACCTCTTTGACATATATACCTAGAGGCGTGATGCTAATGATCAATTCCATTGCAGCAATTGGTGTTGTTTTCATGGAACCTGTTATATTTATGCAAGCCATCCGCTGAATATTGTTTAGTTTGTTAATCGCTGTTGCCTGTAGCACTTTTGGTACCCAAGCAATAGCTCCGTAAGTTAACATTGGCCTAATTACAGCAGTATGGACACAGGCGATCACCCTGAGCGAAAGCCCCAGATACGTTCGACTGTTCGTCGACACTGCTCATAGGCAATATATGCTCTTTTATCTCTACCATCTAAGTATGAGTTCCATGTTAACTTCCTGTGACGGGTAATATCAAGATACTTCACCTCGTTAGAAAAATTTAGACTGTAGTTTAGAATCCGTGGTGGTATTAAGCCCGTGATTTTTCATTTCCTGCTAAAGAGGATCATCTCTGTTTTCTTAGGATTTATAGTGAATGAGTGTTCCTTACACCATGTTTCTATTAGTCGGAGAGCAACTTGCAATCTCTCACATAGTGCGTTCTCAAACTTACCGCTTTGCAGGACAGCAATATCGTCTGTATAGCCTATTGTGTAGAACCCGTTGCTACTGAGTTGGTCAACCAGGGTATCTAAAACTATGTTCCAGAGGAGTGGTGATAGCCAGGGTTGGGCTGTTTTAAAACAAGCTTTTTAAAACAACGTTTTAAAACATGTTTAAAAACACTGAAAAAAAAACAGTTGCATTTTAAAACACCGTTTTAAAACATTGTTTTAAAACATAGTTTTTTTTTCGTTATTGTTTATTATTATTTTGTTTATTAACATTTGTTATAAGACATTTGTGTTTGCTAATTTGCAAAATTGCAAACATAGATTATAGAGTAAGTAGGTGCAATAACAATATTAATGCTAAGTAAAAAGTAAAATTCAAAAAAAGTAACTGACTAAACTTTATTTATGTTCAGGTAGCAAGCATACTAGTACTGTTACGACAGTGCTGTAGTAACATTAACTAAACCAATACTCCTAATAAAGTTAAAAGAAAAAGAAAATTAAGAAATTAAGTAAATAATTATTGAATTACAACAGCATCTATTACACAGTCCTACATCCTGCAACTGATATGTGATACAAAAAATAAAAATAACAATGAATGTTCCTTAAAAAAATAAAAACTATAAATATAGAGCTTTTACAGTTAATAATGTAACCTTAAACATTTTTATATAAATGTTGAAATATTGTTACTAGCTTAGCAGCTTTGTCACTTCCTAACCTATTCCTCAATTTCGAGTGAACTAGACCATATGAAGAAAATAGCCTCTCCACTCCAGCACTGGATGCAACTGCTGAAAATAATTGAGTTGTCAGCTGCAACAACTCCGATGAAATAAACTGTTTTTGAGATAGCCACCATGTTAAAGAACTTAAATTGTCTACTGTATTTTTTGCAAACAAATATTGTTTATTAAATGGCGGTGCTAAGGCACGAAATGACAGTATTTCGGGCATTACATTTGGGTGAAAATCCGAAATAAATAACAATTGCTCTATCAACTTCCACCTCAGAGAGTTCCTGACCCAAGTACTGAGGGTCTAATAAATAAGCTAAATAATGCGCATCTGTTATAGCCAGTTGAAAACGTGCTTCTGCTTTATGAAGTTCCAATACGTTGCTACAACCGTTAGAATGAGCTTCACTTTCACTTTGGAAATAACCCAGTAAGTCCTTCCAAATGTCTGTTGCATCTGCTATGGTGCAGGTATTTCTCTGGCATTGATCCAAAGCCCATATGTGTGCCAGTTGAAGTTTATGGGAATCCCCTTTAGAAATCCAGTGAAGTACATAATTATTTTAAAACGTTTTTTTTGTTTTAAAACAGTGTTTTTTTTTTGTTTTAAAACAGTGTTTTTTTAGATGAAAAAAAAACTGTTTTAAAACAAAAAACATTGTTTTAAATAAAAAAAACATGTTTTTTGTTTTTTTTTTTTAAACATTTTTTTGTCCAACCCTGGTGATAGCACCCCTCCCTGTGGACACCCCCTCGTAACCATGCTTCTAAGATAAACGTCTTCTACATTTATGCTTATTGCTCTATTAAAAAGCATACTGAATATCCATTCGCTCACGGCCAGCGGAACATTCCTGACGTTGAGCTGTTGGGTGACGGTTGGGAATGTGATTTTATCAAACGTTCCTTAAATGTCTATGAATATACCTAGGGTGAATTCTTTATTGTCCAGCGATCTTTCAATTCTTCCCACTACATGATGCAGTGCCGAATGGATAGATCTTCCCGAAGTATATGCATGCTGATTTGGGTGAAGTGGGTTATGGACCAGAACTTCATCCCTTATGTACCTCTCGCATAGGTTTTCCATCGTCTTCAACAGAAAGGATATTAGGCTAATTGGTCGGAAAACCATTGGTAGGGTGTAGTCCATCCTACCTGGTTTTGGTGTACCACACGTACCCCCTATATATTCCACTTCCTAGGAATATATCTCAGATACAAAGAGGCTCTGAATATTTCCACAAGGTGCGGCAAAAGGATATCCAGTCCCCACCGTCAGGAACTTGTGATTTGAAAGGGGTGAAACACAACATGGCTCATTTTACCTTTTCCTCATTAACCATTGATCAGACGAGATGCCAGTCGTTTAGTGAGGGTATGATTGTTTCTCCCTTCCAGTTTGGTGCTGTTGAGGCGCTAGAACTGAGGATGTGTGTTTTTATCAGAACCTCAGCATTTTCGCAAAGGTTGGAAACTTTGGTTCCATCTTCCTTCGTTAATATGCCGACCTTTGTGGTTTTGTGAGGTGGGTCCTTTGAGAACGCTTTTTATAGCCTGGAAGCCTGCGAGAAATCTTCGATTTCTTCAGAGAAGGTTCTCCAAGCAGCACTTTGTCTTTGTCTGCAGACTTTCTTAAACTCTCTGAGATTTAATTGATAAGAATCCAAATCATCTGTAAGATTGGTGCGTTTTGCTCTATTAAAAGCTGTTCTTACTATCTTCCTAAGGTTTTCTAGTTCAGTGCACCACCAAAAGTTGGTTTTACGACTTTCCTGGACTATCCATATTGGACAGGATTTTTTATAAGCATAGCTTCTCTACCCTCAATTATTTTTGCTAAACAAATTCGATCTTCAACAGATAGGGGAGTTTTTTAAATAGATTTTCTCATTTAGCTCCACGGCATACAAATGTTTACAGAATGCAGTGATTTTCAATGTTATTTACGTGAGCGAAATCAATTTTAAATAAAATTTATATTAAATCGACTGTTAAAATTTGATATATGTTGATCCGAGTATCCTATCGACACAAATCAAAAAGCGTTGTAAATGTGAAGAAAGCAGCTTTTGTATGCAATTTTTGCATTTTATCGCAAATGAACTCAGTTTCTATAAAGCTGTTCAATAAATAAACTTAGCGAGATTATGCCATTTTTTACGATTGAAAACACATGATGTGATTCGAAGAAAGCTGGGTAAAAATTAAGTCTAATATCTTAGCCTCGGACAAGGAAGTTCTTGGTGAAAGAAAAATAAATAAAAATAAATTGTTCCCAACAACTCCATAGTTTTGTACAGAAGTGAAGAAAAAATGCAAAGAAAAGAAAAAAACTTACCTGAAATACATGTCAACTAAAACACAAGAGGCATACCATAATAACAAGACAATAAGAAACAAAACACATGTAAAGTATGAAACACGCTTTTTGTGGTCTGCAAAAGAAAATTTGGCGCTTATAACAGATCAAAGAACGAAGGTAAAGAAACTACTACCAGAACCAAAATACATAAAAAAGGATACATGGATTGACTACCTAAACAGAAGTTGTTCTCAGCAAAGTGACTAAGGTTTTTAGCATAATAAATTAAATAATAACCATTAATTATAGGTACTACTGTTGAGTTATAAGACGCATTAGATATTTTTCATTTTATCCATTGACTTAACTTGCAATCTTGTCCTAAAACTTACCTCCAAATCAATCATCTCTCTAGGCTGTGGAGCTTCGGGATTTTCCCCAGTATCCAGCATGGGGATCCCATCCTTTTTAATCTCTTTTTCGAGATACCTGAGTTTCCTTTCCATTTCATCACATCGGCGAACTTCATTAACAAATTTACGTTGGAAAGCATTTACGTCAGGATTTAGCTGTGAAAAAATATTGTTTTAGTACGTAAATAAAATGTAAAATAACAATTTTAGAGGATTTGAGTATTTTTATACAGTTTTAATATTGAAATATAAACTATAAGTTCTATGATTATAATTTCATTGTAACTTGTACAGTATTTAAAATTTTAGAGGTTTAGATTAGTCATAAAATTGGGCCAAATTTTAAATCTATGTTCAGAAGTCAAAAATAATAATATAACAATCATGGGCTATAGGCATTTCTGAGCAATAGGGTTAATGAATATGGGCTATGCGCACATGTGTTTGATTTTATAATAATTTCCAACCATTTCCAGTTAGGTCAAAATTTAAGAAACGTACCCCTAAAATAATTACTAAATTTATTACAGTTGTGTAGGGTTGTGTTATAGAGGTAGTACCTTTTATTAGAACGACCACATCGAGCGTCATAAACGGGAGATGGTTCTTCCGGTTCGGTCTTGAATACGCTTATACAAAACTGCATGGATCAACGAAAGGATGTATTCATAACATTCCTCGATTATGAAAAAGCGTTTGACACCGTAAAACATAAGGCAATGATAAAAATGCTACACAACGCTAACATTGACGAGAGAAAGATATAAGCGTTATCCAGCATCTCTATTGAAATCAAAAAGCATAAGTGAGACTGAACAAATCAACCAACACAGAAGAATTTGAAATTTTAAGAGGGGTGCGACAGGGGTGTATTTTGTCTCCTATGCTCTTCAACCTCTATGTGGAGAACATTTTTGCAGAGGCACTGGAAGGCTGTGAGTTTGGAATAAAAGTAAATGGGTTCCCGATAAATAACATTTGTTAACCAATATTCGTTATCCCGAGAAATAACGTTCGTTCGACAACGAACATGATATGCAGTTGATGTTAAATGAAATAAACACCGTAGGAAAAATATATGGCTTGAAGATAAATGCTGGAAAAACTAAATGCATGGCAATAAAAACTAAAGCACTTTTAAGAATACAACTGCAAGTAGATAATGCTCCAATCAATCAAGTGAAAACATTTAAATATTTGGGAATGATGATGAATGACCAATGGGATCCTCAACAAGAAATAAAATGCTGTACTGAACAAGCAAGACAAGCTTTTATCAAATTTAAACTGCTACTATGTAACTGCAATCTTTCCTTCAACCTCTGCTACAGGATGGTTAAATGCTTTGTATGGTCCATATCATTATATGGCATGGAAACATGGACTCTATGAGACTTTCCATTAATAAGTTGGAGGCCTTCGAAATGTGGACGTTGCAAAGAATGTATGCATATCATAGACAGATAGGGTGAGAAACGAGGAAGTCTTAACAAAGGCAACTACTGAGAGAGAACAATTCAATTTGATCAAGGTACGAAAAATTGGATAGGTACCTCGGCCATATTCTGAGAGGAAAAAAATATGCAATCCCTCAACTAATTATCCAAGGAAAGCTTGAACGAAATGTTGAAGGCAAGAGAGGAGTAAATCGTAAACAAATGTTGTGGCTACAAAACATAAAGAACTGGACAAGCATAAATAACACTGGTGATCTTTTGCATGCCGCAAAAGACACATATCTGGCCTTAAGATAATTTGACAATGCACTACAAGAAGAAGATTAGACAATTGGAACTGCGATCAGTGAACCAAGCATACTAATATAACTTGTGATACTGAACATATCAATAATAACATATGCCCTAAAAGATTTGGCACAACATTAATTGCAAAATTTGGATTACTCTGTTAACTGTCACTTGGGATTTATTTATTTTGAAGTTTTCACTTTAAGATGTCATATAAATTTCACATAGAACCATTTCTAGAACAATAGCTGAGTGAGAGCAGAGAATACCATGTCTGAGTCTCCCAAAAGAGGAATAAGTACCACATGCATTTAATGCACAGAGGTCAGAGAGATTTGTATGTTGGTGAGGAGAAATAGTCTTAAATATCGAAAGTGATATAAGTGCCCCAAATACTTTCAAACACAACTCGTTCATATACCTGTTTAATAAAACAATAACATAACCTTCAAATATGAACATTCAAATATCTTTGATATTCTCACCTCACGAATAACAAATAATACCAATAGCACAGAATTAATGTTCATAACCAAAAGTCCTTATTTACTCTTCAAACAATTAAAAAACCAATATTTTCAACTTCATAGTCCACTGAGGCGGTTACACTTTGCCAATGAAAAAAATTATTATTTTAGATAACAAAAAGTATTTATTTCACTGAGTAAATCTGAAATAAAGGGAAACAATTGATTTTAAGTGGATAAAATAGAAGATACCCTGCCAATGTTATACATTATACAAACATGGTACATGGTACAAACATAAAGCGGAATTTGCAGATAAAATCCTTGTCTGATGCACAATTTCTAACAGAGATGTATCCCAATCTTTTGTGGAAAGAGTGAGGGGTGAAGCTTTGAATAGTCAAAGCTATATTGATAACTGCCTTTCCTGATTGCTTCAGTTTATCCACGAAATAATGCTAATGACGACAATACCACATACCTTCTGTTCCCAAAAATTAAAATCCTACAAACTTGCTGCAAGCTCATCTAATGGAGGATTGTAGGGCTTTACTGTCTAGTAAGATTTATCATGGAGGCTGGGAAGCCCAAGAAGAAAAACAATTAAGACTGCAATTTACGAAAAATTGAGAGAAATGGATCTGAATTCTGTCCAGGACCTCATAGGAGTAATTTGAAGAAATTGGCGTATGGAAAAGCAGAATCTACTTCTCCACATAATTCTATAGCATAGTTTAGTTAAGTATTTGGTTTTAATTTCATGATTTAACTATATAAAGTATACATAAATTTCTTCATTACAAAAAAAGCTGCCAAAGTTTTGTGCCCAAACTTTTATGACAAACATTAAACATAGGAAATATATTATTTTAACCCAAAATGGAAGATTATGGGATACCTAACAATCAGCAGATACAAATAATAGGTGTTTCTATTTAATTATTCTTTTCTTAATAAGTTATATGATTTGCATTTAACAATGGGAAAGTTTTTCTAGACATGCAACATCTAGAAAATATTGACAGTTACACCCAGATCAAATGTAACCCTTAGATATTTATAACTTATTACCATAAACCATAAAGAAACCATATTTATTTGTAATTATATCAAAAAATATGTCTTCATTTACTCAGCAAATATGGTTTTTACAAACATTTAAAACAACATGTTTTACCAATTGAATTTACAGTTTGTCTCTATGTTAGAGACAGCAGCCAATGTATCATATCTAGTGGTAAGTTTTGAAAGATGATATTTTTCCCCTGATTTATAATCATTTTGATCTTTTTATGCCTATCTTAAATTAAATGTTCTGTTATTCCTAAATTATACATAATGTATCCTTGATATGTTGCATATTACACCAATGAAAACTATATTAAGACATATTAACTGTTTTTTATTAAGATATATGTTATAGTGTTGGCTAAATATGGTCCCATGGCTACTCCTTTTCTCTCTTTACCACAACAAATCAAGATTTTTCTAGCAGTTATCATCGATCTTCCTCCTCTAAACCCATTTCGGTAGTCTTCTAATATTTTCTCTGCATAGTTTTGATTTTTTTACTTATTACATTTGCCAATATTTTGTATAAATCATTTAACAAGCGTGATTGATCTATAGTTTTTACATCATTCTTTATCTCCTTTCTTGTAGATCACTATAATGATTTCATTGTTTCATTCTTTGAATATATTGTTTTGTATCCATATTTGTTTTATCAGTTGGTATACCTAGTTGTTCGGCTTCCATACTTTTTTTCTTATGTAGGTACAATTAAGTAAAAGTATTTCTTCCACTCTTCTGGTTCATATTCAGTTATCCCTTTCTTGTCTTTCATTTCCCTTGATCTACCCTTGGATTTTATATTTAGTTTATTTTTTTATAGAATTTTTTATTATTACCCACTGTTAACTCTTCTTCCCTCCTACTTATTTATATTTCTCTTTCTTTTATAAACAGCTTCTGTTCTGTTTCTTGCTATTTTATATTGTTTTTTAGATCTCATCCATTTTTGGCATTCTAGATTACTCACTTGATGGTATCATCCTTTATTGCTTTTTTTGCTATCTTACACACTCATATAAGTTTATCTGCTGCTTGTAAATTTGCTTTTTTTATTTAATTAATACAATTAAATTTTAATTATAAAATAATGAGTTATTTTAGTTGTCTTTTTATATTAAAATTTTCTTGTTTTATTATTTCTGTTACATGTCATGTCTGATGATTTTTTAGTTCTTTCAATTTTTGTTTTTCCTTGTAGGCCTTTTGCCTTGTATCCATATTATGCATGTTCATCTTTTTCTTGTTTATAGCATGGTTTATATTGATTCTTTTAGTTTTCACATTTTTTGGTTGTTTCTCATGATTTTTCACTTTGTGTAGTCCAATAAGGCAACTTTATCCTAAATAAGTATGGTCTTACAAAATTTATTTTTAGGAGATAATTGACATCAAAATATATATTTTTCATTTAAGTATTTTAAATTAGTAAAATTTAAAACAAAAGACTTTTATCAATGTCTATCTATTTATATTAAGAAAGAAAAATTTTGATTTTAGCAGGACCTATCATTTTCATTCATGTACCTGTCATTTCTGATAATTATTCAGAACTGTTAAGTTTGAGTGGACTAAATAGGTCTTAATTTGCAGTGGCAAGCATTTATTTTTGTAAATTATTAAGAAGATTAGTGTTTAAAAGCACTTGGTGGTTTTATACCCTCATATTTTACCATCTAAACATGGTGTATCTTAATTAATCTTGACAGGGGATTCTTTTACATTAAAATGTTCATGAGTCATTACTAGGAGGGTGTTTCTGTTATCAAATATCAAATAGGTTATTATTTTCTTGTGTAATTTATATGGCATTTCTTACATTTTTGTACACAACTCCCCAGTTTTCACTATAAACATTATCATAACTCTATCAGCTGTAAAAAAAATTGCTGAGAAATTTTTACAATCCTAACAGGTTTTTTAAGTAAATGACTTTTGGATAATTAGATAACTAGATTATCATAGTAAATGTTTATAATTTAAATTTAAGTATTTCAAATAACTAATGCAAGCATGGTTCAGATTTTGAAGCTATTAAGAAATTAAATATATCTATAAGTACACCCTTAGTCTTTCTATTCTTTCTTATACAAGTATATTTAATGTTCTTTACTTGGTAACAAATAATGGTAAATGCGCAAATATTTTGTACAGAAACATTCAAATCATCTAGTTTATACAAATAGGTACTTAAATAATGGTTTAACATACATCTCTGAATTGTACCAATCCTAGTTCTCCCAGTTCCGAAACACAGGCGTAAGCAGCCTCACTTTGCAAGAACAGTTGGCATAAAGTCATTTCCGCACTTCGAAATAACGACCCCATTTCGTCGACCTTTTTAAACACTGGACCTTCAAACTATAATATAAATTGGGATAAAATTTAGTAAAATTTAACTAGCACTAAAAATACTCAAACATACATCCCCTATTGGCCCGTAGCCGAATGACAATGGCCTCGACATCGACATCGGCATATGCGCGCGTACAAGAAAGTTTCTCTCGAGCTTGCGCCTTTGACGTTTACTCTTTGCGCTTGGCACCGTTCTTGAGATATTGACGTTTACTATACCATAAGCGTAGGTTCAAATGGGATTACAGGACCCCAATCCATAAAAAAGTTATATTTTGAATGTATGCATGTTATATATTTTCAGTAAAAGACTTAAAATTACTTTTTTTATTTTCTTTATATTTAAAATAGCAGAATTTATTTCTTATCAGAGCTTTTTTTTCTTACATGTCAGTTCCAATTTTTCAAATCACTTTTGGTTCTGTCTTGAAAACGGATGTTTCAGATGATTAAGGTAAGATCTTTTTATGTCTTCTTGGTAAGACTGTTATAATTTCCTTCATTTTATTATGTATTCTATAGCCTTAATGTCATTATATTAAATGATTATTTTATGTTTCTATCTAAAACCAAATATTACTATAAAAAATCTAGACACTATATATGTTAAATTTGAAGATGATTTGAAGTTACAAATGGATGCTGTAAAGATAATATAACCTTTATTCTTATTATTTCTATGGATCTATGGATATAACTGTCAAAATAAGCCTGGCTACTTAAAGTATATGACACGAAAATTAAAATCTATAGTTCTAAACGAAACGTATCTCAGTTAACCTGTCCAGGTCATTAACATTTCAAAATTAAAGTAAAACTTCAAAAATGAATCAAAATTTAAAATCTTGCACTCAGCATTCATCAGATTCTTCAAGTAAAGTTTATAAAATTGCAAAGTCCCGACTTCGAAGTTTCAGAAGCGTTACAAGTAAGTTATATATGGCAAGAAAGAAATTACAACCTGTCGTAAATGATATTTTAAAAACAGCTTCTCAGAACTCAGACGTAAAACCAGGTCAGCAAGGGAAGTCTTACTACTTAACTATAGATCAATATAAAGATGCCATGTGGGCCGCTCGGTTATTGAAAGAAGTCGAAGACGTCCTGAAATTGGATAAAAATAAGAAACCGTCTTTTCAAACGCAGAGTTTTACCTTTGATGCCAAAGTTAAAGTGAACAAAGGGGGGAAAATATATATAGATACACCTATATTGTTGCAGTTGATCGATCTTCACAAACTTTTAGGAGATATTATAGATTTTTTGCAAGAATTACCTCAAGATGGAAATGATACTTCTAAAGAAGATATTGTTGGTAAATTTGATTTTATACATGTCTAATTTCTTTTCTGTTATATTTCAATGATTTCTTTAATTCCCTCCTGCCAGGTTTTCGTCATGCTATTACCGTTTTAATCTACAAATATTCTCCTAGATTAGACTCTTGTTGCAAAATAAGTGAGTTTAATTTAAATAGGTCATTGCGAAGAAAATTTATTAATAATTTAGCATTAATTTTCTATCGCCCAATAAACTACTGGATTCGTTATATTTCATACCAACTCTACTTCAGACCTCAAATTTATTAGTCCATTGAAAAGTTACATTGAGATTACATTTTTCAGAGGACCTTTTTTTTTCCTTGATGTATGGGAGTTTTTAGCATAAGCTTAAGTTCAAGTTTGTAGGGTCGCCTCCCTTGTCCCCCAGCCGCCATCTTGAAACAAGAGAGGCAAAAGTTTTTGCGTTGTATCTCATAAATTAGCAACCCTATAGAAAATGTTATAAAACATTATTTGTAGGAAATTAAATAACTTTAATTAACTTTTTAAGAAATAACTTTATCGTAAAATTAAAAATACAAAAGTTATAAAGAAAAATAACTCAAAATTGTTGGACAAATTTTCTTTTGGGTCTTATAACTTTTTTCTGGTCATTCTACAACAAAAAGATATTAGAGCAATGTTATTAGAGGGTTTTCGACGAATAATTTCTACTACTAATGTGTTTAATTTAATTCCTCTGTGTTTTACAGCACTCCGAAATTGACCGGCTTCTTGAATACTCATAAGAATACGATAAAAACGAAACGATTGGATTAGTTTTTTTATTATATATTTTTTATTCATATAATTTATTATTTTGTTAACATTCCTATGGTATTATTAGTTTATTATCGACCTTTTTCTCGGCCACAGTCTGAAGGCGCGTTTTTTAAAGTGGTATCCCCATTAGGCCTAATTCACTGACAATTTCCAGGCGAGATAATATTGAGCATAATTATATATCTAAAAAGTTGTTTTCCAGCTATTGTTTTTCATTTTCTTTCATGGTCCAGGCTGCGGTTCAGGATCGAATTCAGTACCGAAGGTGAATGTTTGCGAAAGAACGTAAGTTAGAATTAGCGTTACTGCAAGTTTCACCAGAATAATTGAGGCATACTCCTGCAAAGCATTTGAGGCCTGCTTGTCGGCAAACACACATACTTTCACAGTTTCCCTTGTATCGGTAGAAAATAAATTTCAGAATTTTATGGACTGCTGGGGTTTTTAAAGTTTTGATTGGTATCCAAATTTTTCCATGCTTTTTCCAGTGCCAATCTTTAGGATCGTAGTGTTTTCTGGTGATAAATTCTAGAACTGTGGAAACAAGCTGTATCTTGTGTTGGCAGAAGCGATGATAAGTTAAATGTAATTTTGCTAACTGCCTTGGCGAATGGTTTGTATCTCATGCTGTTAGAGAATCATCTTTATTTCCACTATATAAAGAGACGAAAAAGGTTCGCCAACGACAGTGGGCACAGATGGCTCGGCTTTCTCACTGACAAATAATGCTAGCTAATGTAAAACGCGAAAACCCTTTGCACCCCTTATTCCAAAATGGTGAATATTCAAGAACCCGGCCAGCTCAGAGAAATTAATGAAAATACATATTTGTAGTGACAATTATTCTAATAAAAACCCTCTATCATATTAATCTGATGTCATTTTATTGTAAAATTATCAGAAAAAAGTTGTTTAGTTATTTTTGTTTATAGCTATTTTATTTTTCATTTTAAGATTAAAAGTGATACAGATAAAGTTGTAGACAATTTAATTTGCTATAAATAATGTTTGGTAACATTTTTATAGGATTGCTAGTTTACAAGATACAGCGCGAAAACCCTTTCCCCTTTTTCCAAGATGGCGGCTGGGGGTCAAGGGTGTGGACACCACAAACTTGAACTTAAGCTTATATTTATCCTCCCAACTTATCAAAAAAATAAAATTCTCTCCTTTAAGAAATGCAAGGGGACATTTCAATGGAATATACAGTGTCAATTTTAAAACTTACAATGGGCTATATCTCACGAACAAAAGCTGATATCGAAAATACTTTAAACCGTTTCTAGGATAGTAAAATGACATGAAAGAGAACTCATATTCATCAACCCCCTAGGCCCCACCCACCACAACCAAAAAAGTTTAAATTGAAAACCCCTACTTGTGATACATCATTGAAAAGACTATAAAAATGCTGTCCAATGGTATAAATAATAATTGCATTTCTTAAAGGACGGAATTTTATTTTTTTGATATGTTGACTAACTAAACTTTGATATATTGTGAACTAGCTAAAAAGAATACAAAAAACTATATACAAAGGAAGAAAATAAATTCACTTCATTATTCCAATACCACATAGGTACTAAGACACGTCTGATAATAAGTGTATTATATCTCTATTTTCTAAACCATTTGATACATCATGGACTGTAGGCTTTCACGACCGGTGTTTTGTAAAGGTGCATTGTAATGGGTTTATAGGATGTGATTCGGGATTATTTTTTCCTAACGTTGTGTCTGGATACTAAGTACACTATGTTTATTTCAAAGACGGAGAGACATGATGGTGTGTGATACCTATAGAGACTCACTATGTCTAATATATTCTACAACAAAATGTTTCCCTACGTCTAATGAATAGTTGAAGCATACCGCTGTACGGCTTTCGACGTAATAAACCAACAACTGACCAAATCTTTACAGTGCGATTCCAAAGTTAGATGTTGAGATCCGCCACATATTTGTAGATCTCAAAGCCGAATGTGACTCAGTAAACAGACACAAACTGTTTCATTTTATGCTGTGAAATTAATACTGACTGCTACATACTGCAGAGTCAGAATCCACAAAGTAATTTCAGATCCTGCCATTATAAAGTTAGACTAAGACAGGAAGACACAAGAACACCTTCTGTTAACTTTGCGCTGGAAAAAGTAATTTGGGAGTCCTAAATTATTACCAATGGCATAATATTTGATATTCAAGTTTTCATTTCAATGTGACGTGATCAAGCTGAAAATTTAGCTTTTTAGATAATTTACATAATTCCTAACTTTCTAGTTCAAATTCAGTTCAGTTCAGTTCTAAAAACTTCAATCAAATAACAAATACTTGGAACAATGAAGCAAAACTCTTTATGGTCGGTTCGAGGTCATGATGGAAAAATCATTTTCGATGAAGAATGTGTTGCATCTCTGTTTCTCTCTATATCTCTTTCTAAATTACAGAATGTAGGGAAGACATATGCTACAGATCTTTTCCATGATAATAGAATATTAGTATTCTCCGAAGTTCAACAAGCTTTGAAGATGTTGAAAAGCAATACAAGTCCTGGACCAGATAATGCCTACTCAGAAATAGTGAGGCATGTAGATAGAAAATACTTAACATACATATTTAATACATCTATTAAATAATAATAAATATTTAATACATTTAATACATCATAAGGCAGTACATCTCAGATATATAGGGTATATAATCAGACGATGGGAAGACACGGAAGTTAATGGAATTTTAAATGGATGATTGTTCTAAAAAAGGCTTTGGCTCATATAAGCTGTAACACCAGTGATCATGGTGATGAATATTTCGCATACAACTGCGACACATATTATCAAAGACGATAGGACAACCATGGTCACTGTCTTGATCTGTGAGCAGTCGAAAGTGGTCGCCTTTTAAAATGTGAACTATAGTTGCAGATTTGACATCAAGAAGAAATTATTCCCGATGGTAGCCTATAAATCCCAAACACAATGTACCATTATATTTTATTTATGTTTGCTATAGAAAAAATAATTTATTTTTAATAACTTTTTTACCATAGATCAGAAGTCCTCGCAGTCAAAGTCTTTGACAATTTCAACAGGAAGTTCTGAAGATTCAAGACAATCTGAACCAGAAAAAATTACTAAAGAAATATTAACAACATTAACAATGCCTTTAAGCACAGATTTTGTAGTATTGACAGCAAATAATACGAATTCCAAAATTAAATTGAGTCCATCACAACAGAAGCCATCAGCAATAAAAATGAACACAAAAAATGAATCGAAACCAACTTTAAGTACTTCTTCGAGGTTTACCAATACTAATAATAATAATAATAAGGAAGAGGTATGTATAAGTATTTGTATAATTTTAAGCTTTTTGTTCAAAACCAAGTTAGCGTATCTATCTTACAGTGATTATATAATATTGTAAGGTTAATGGGTAGTATGGTATGATCAACGGTCTGATAATGACCCCTCTAACTAGCAATGGTTGGCCTTGAGTGAGGATGTCACGGAGTTCCATTAATGGCGTTCTCTAAAAGTTGGTCTTGGCTTCTAGCCTTTATAAATTGTTTTCCAGTCAAGTTTGCACTTTACGCAGATGATGTAATAATTTTCGGTCTAGGTAGACACTGTTGCCACATGCAAACTGATTTAGAAAGCGATCTTGAATATTCTTCTTCTTGTATAAGCCTATCCGTTTCGGATGTTGACGACCATCATGGCAATATCCGCCCTCCTGGTCCACGTTTGCCTTCTACTTTTCCTTGAAGAATTAATTGCAGCAACCCATATCTTTCGCTGTTCCTCGTGATGTGACCGAGGTATTCGATTTTGGCTGTTTTTATTGTGCTTAGCAACTCTTTTCCTTGAAAAATTGGCAATAACTTTTCTGTTGAGATATCAAAAGTCATTAAGTTTTCTCGCAGGATGCCAGAACTATAAATTATAAAATTACTGTAAATGGTACTTCACCTGTTGTAAAGACTATGAAAGACTCATTTTCGTCACTAAACATACTTGGTAATGCAGTCTAAGATCTTAAAACTAAATGCATGACAAAGTTTAATGTTGTTAAACTTTATCACCAAGAAATCCGTGCCATAAAATCGTTAAACGCAGACAAAGATGTTGTAATTTTACTAACAGACAAGGAAAACGCCACCGTCATAATAAAGACAACCGACTACAAAACGAAAATACAAAATCTTCTAGACCCTCGGCATATAAAAGACTTAAAAAGATCCCACAGCAGTCACTCTACGGAAAATCAATTGACTTATAAAATCTTCGTCCATACCAGAGGATACAAATCCAAGAATATGCAACAGCGAAGCAGTCCCACCACGCTTGTATGGCTTACCGAAAATACACAGACGAAATACCTTTACGTCCTATTGTGAGCTCCATAGGGTCTCCATCTTACAGCCTTGCTAAATATCTTTCCGATAATCTAAAACCACCTACAATCTACATAGGAAAAAACGATGCCTTTGTAAAAGACTCCGTCCATTTCATGGAGAAGATCAAAGAAATAACTTTACAAGAACCTGACATTCTTGTTAGCTTTGATGTTGTTTCCCGATCTACAAGAGTTCCTCTTGAAGACGTTCTGAATTTAATTGAGGGACAAGTCTCCAAGGATATGGTGGAATTATACCGTATTTACCTCACTACCACCTACATTTCATGGGAAGACCAGATTTATGAAAACAGGTAGATGGAGTAGCAATGGGAAGCCCACTAAACCTGTCATAGCCAACCTTTTCATGGAAAATTTAGAGAAGAGGATAATGGAGTCAGCATACAAGCAAGGGTATGGTTTAGGTGCGTCGATGACACTTTGGTGATTTGGGGTCTAGAAGTAGAAAAACTTAAGAGTTTCTTGTCTTATATAAACACACTACATCCAAATATTCAATTTACGATGGAAATAGAGAAAGATCAACAAAATGGTAAATTGAAAGGAAGGTTATTTAGGATATAAAGTTTATCGAAAACCTACACACACGGACACAGACAGATACCTAAACAGGAACTCAAATCATCATCCCGGCCAAAAACAAGGTATCATCAAAACTCAGGCGGAGAGAATTTGTGAACCGCATCTGCTTCAGCATCTGCAAAGTGAACTTCTTTATATTGAAAAAGCGCTCACCTTTAATGGTTATACCAAAAGAGAAATACAAAAAGCGATTAAACACGTTTCTAGAAGAAAGGATGAAGAAACAGCATGTATAGGCAAAGCGTTCTTGCCCTATATATCGGTGGTAACAGACAGAATTGGGCGAATACTTAAAAAAGCCAATGTAAAGACAATTTTCAAGCCTACAAAAAAATCAAGGACTGTTTAAGATTGGTGAAGGACAAATGAGACCCATTAGAAACGGCCGGAGTGTACCGAATACCATGCATATGTAGAATGGTATATGTGGGAACCACGAAAAGATACACAACCATAAGGATAAACGAACATAACAGCACTTTGGGAAGCGGAGAACATCAGATCCTCTTTGAAAAATCACAGATGCAGGATAAAACATCCCAGTACTACCCACAATTATATTTGGAAGCAATGGAAATATATAAGCATTAAAATAATTTTAATCGGATAGAAGGATTAAAAATTAACAAAATATGGATACCAATATTAAAATCCACAAACACCCTTCCCACAAAACATGAAAAAAAAGCTTCGAACGACGACACGCCTCCTCACACCTAAACCAGTGGAGGGGAGGCAAGTAGAAAATATAATATGTTTGGCATATATGGCACTAATTTTGGTTAACTAAAAAATAAATGGTTTCTTCTTGCCTAATATAATCGAAACATGTAGACTACAGCAGTACTGTGTACTGAATTATTTTGTTGATGTTAGGTTTACTGTTTTGAGTTTCATTAATAATAAACAATGCACCTGATCATTCTGAGTAACATGTGACCAACATTATATAACCAAATAGTGTATCTAACTGTTTGTTCGTGAGTGATATAGCCACAAAGCAATACCTGATGGGTATTGCTTTGTGGCAATGGCACAGATGGAAGGTGAGATTACTCACGTTATTAAATTCTCAAATCTTAAAATATCATCATTTGAGAGTAGAATAATATGTCATATATATCGTATATATCAAACAATGTATTTGAAGATAGAGAAAAGTGGCATATGAAGAGTCAAAACTGTTTCTATAAACCAATTTATATGTACATACTAAGAAATTAACACATTTAGCGAAATGTGCACAGCATGTTTTTACTATAGATTGTATGTACCAATAATGCCCAGATTATCATTGTGTAAATATGACATTAATATACACATCAATGTTCTGGGGCTCAACATGTTAAGTATTATAGAGAGTTAAAGTTTTCATCCACACATTTGCTGTTAGAAATCTTGTTCGGCACTTGTTCTATAGGTCAGCCGAAATGTAATTTGTAAATAAGGGAATATAGTAAATTATAATTATTGTGTTGCAATAAACATATTTCATGGGTTTTAGGCTGTTTTCAAGTAAACCAGACTATTTATTGTAACTTTATATTTTATAATTAAAAAAATAATGATATACATATCACATAATTTTCTCCCATTTCACTGGCAATACAGTTTATGACAATAGCAGAAGTTAAAATTTTACTTACAGTTTATTATTCTAAATATTTAAATAACAAGCATTTAAACAAAAAAATTAAAGATTTTTTAGTATTATCAATTTTATAATAACTTTTGGATTTAAGTTTCGTCCATAGTTTCTCCTGTTGCTGATTGTATTTCACTTTTGAGTTCTTTAATGACCTTTGCAAGTAATTCAGGATTAACGCCAGATTCACAAAGTCTTACGCAAATTGCCAATGTCTCTGGTTCTAATCCAGTACACAATAACCTCGATAATTCAAGTAGACTTTGAAATGTTTCTTTAGCTTCTTTTATAGTAGAGACATTCCTATTTTTCATGTTGAGAATTTTTTAAATACGTTACAAAAACAATTTTAATTTAGATTTGTTTACTGATTGTCGGATATGAGTGATATGACATAGGTGAATGAATGAAACTTGACAATTTTATTGTCACTTGCCAGTTCAAAGTTGACATTCCATCTCACTCAGGGGCTTAGGGAGTTGTGAATTTTTAAAGGATTTCATAAAAGACATAAATGTGATCTCAATGTCATTCCTCCTCTATTAGGTACAGAAAGTTAGCTGTCTTTATTAGGTCACATAATATGGTTACATAGTTTACAGTACCTCATATTTTCATGTACGAACAGTTCCAGTACTTTTTAATTGCAAAAAAATATCGTCACAATAACAAGCAAATCTTATAAAATTACCTATATAATAGTGATTAGTAGTTTTTTTAGGATAAACATAATTCTATCTCCACTCCAAATCAACTAGTTCAAATTCAAAATTTAGTTCTTTTTGTAATTTTTATATAGGTCTTTAATAGAAAACGTTCCTAATTATTATATGCAACCAGTAATGCACATGCACGAATTTAGTGTTGCAACAAGAGAGAAAAACAAAATCGATATCTTTTCCACATATTTTTATTCTTATATACCTAGAACTTTATATCTATTAAATCTATAGGTGGAGGACGTCAAATGAGAATAAAACAAATATTTTTTTTTATATTTTTTGTGTTCCAACTATGCAGGTTATTATTGACAATGGAACAATTAATATTATGATAAATTATAGTCAAGAATTACTACAGCATGAATATTATTATTTTAAAACTAGACTTTTTATATTTTTTTAACTAGGTTTACTTCTCGTAAGATCTAGGTTTTAAAATTCCTGTTGTGGATAATCACTTTCAGTTGCTCTTGGATACCATATATTTTGTTCGTTTATTATTGTAATAGATTCAATATAAGAGAATATGCTTTAGAGATGGTTATTCTGAAGCCATCAAGTATCCATGAGTTAATCCAGTATGGTTGATTCTCAGTCTACGGATACCTATACCTAAACATTTTTTGAGATTTGAGTATTTTATACATTACATACCTATACCACTAAAAGTGGTGGTTCTAAATTGCACAAAAATAGCTTTAATGTAAACAGGTCAGCTAGCAGGGGATATGCAATGCAAGAAGGACTTGCATTGCATTATACCACGGCCTGGATGCAAAACTACTTTAAGAGCGTCGCTCTTCAAATATATTGTTTTGTACTGACTACAATATTTCTGTTTTATCACCACTTTTCTTTTGCTTCTTTTACTTATCCTCTGATTTGTTCTGCGGTTCTTTGTATTTGGTCTCATTTCTCCCCCTCGTTATTTCGCTTATTTTTCATAAGATGTATTATTTGAGAAGTCATATATTTCTGTTCCATATTTCTATCTTTTGGAGTTGAAGTATATTTGTAAACTCTTTTAAGATTATTTTGTATGTTAGTCCACTTTGATTTACAAAAAAATTGCTTCGGCATTTTGGTTACGTATACCATTTAGCCAAATAGTATATTATATACATCTAATATCAATAACCACTAGCTTTTTTTAAGATACCTAATAGGTAGAGAAATGGTTTTATTTTTAATATTAACTATACATTTTGTTTTCTTTTTAATTATATTTTGTTCATATTTTCGATTTATAATTTATTGTAATTATTCTATCCTAAGCTTATATTGTTAGTATTTATTTTTTTGTAGGTGGTAGACGCAGATGGAGCAAAAAAAATTATTGTGAAATGTATGGCTGATTTGGATAAGGTTCGTCATTTTCTCGAAAAAGATTTTTCCGTTCAGTCTGTGAGAATTGAAAAGCCCAAATCGTATTCAGCGGTTAATGCCGCGAACGGTGGTAATTTTACACAGAACGGTGAGCCACTTTCGGACAAAGACGAAGCTTACAAATATGATATGCACGACGGATGCTGCTGTATGGATTCATGTCCTGGAGATCAACCCTTGGAATTTACATGGAAAGAGAATGTAAGCCAATAATTGTTCTATTCATGTTGCAAAAATTTCAACTAAATAGCGTATTCTGTATTTTCCCTTTTATTTGATTTTCATGTGATAGTTTGCATTAAAAATGGCGATTATGTGGAAACTAAGCAAGAATTGATTGCATCCAAAAATAAAATGTTGCATTAGTTACATTACGGTATATAAGATGGATATTTTGGTATTACGAGGACTTTTTAAATGGTTTAAGAACGTTCTGTTGGATATACTGCAAAGAAAATGAAAAACGATGATACCAAAAATCCGAATTGTATACAGCGGGCAGTGATCCAGTTGATAAAAAAGGGCATCTATGAATTAGTAGGATGTTAACTGTTTTATGGAGAGAGTAGCCATTGATACTGCAGGACCGTTCCTAGAAATGTATACTGAAAATAAATGTATCGTTGTGACAATGAATTATTTTATAAAATGTATTAAGACTATCTAACTAATAGGGTTCTAAGGTAGCAGATATATTGTTTAAATAATATTTCAACAGTTTTGTCTTTTACGCAGAAATTCACTTGGACCAAGAGCGAAATTTCATATCAAATAGATATCAACACTTTTACAAAATTGATGACAAACTTTTGGAAGAAAACTAGGCATGCGAAACGTACGTCAACCAGATCAAGTTAAGTATAATCAACATTTACCAACTTACCGGACAACAGATCCAGATAGCCAGTGATCAAATATAAGATCAATATAATCGTTGATCCGCGAATGGAAGTGGGTGATCTTGTCTGGTTATATAATCTACAACGACATCGAGGCCTGTTGTTTAAACTTCAAATAAATACGATTAGAAGGTCCGTATGAAATTAAAAAAAAACCCAAAAATTATGTGATTATCCAATTAATAAACCGCCAAAGGGAAAAGCAAAAGTTGTCCACATAGATCATCTCATCCAAACAAAAGTTCTTTGATCATTGCTTTACTTCGTGGCCAAAAGATCGTCTATTGAAAGAGAAAGCTACAAAAACATATAGCAACGTTAATTGGTTTTAGAAAAACTGTGTTACACTATAACGTAAGGAAATTATTAATTTATTTATAAAATTTACTAATGTTTGTATTTTGAGAACGATTTCCGAAGTGGAAATTGAAACGTCAATAAACTTACATTAACCTTTAATTGTGGCTTATTCCAATTTAAATAGTAATTACTTTAAAATGCCACAAGAAAATAGCTTCAGAACAATATTTATGTTCTGTAAACATGATTTTTTAAGTAATTGGATGGAAGAAACTGTTATGGGCCTAGCGTTATTTAAAATTTTCGGAGATTGGAGATTCTTTAAAGGAAACTGGCACATTGTAAAAATTCAATCAAATTTTTACGAAGAAAATTATCTTTATCAAAGATAGGCAATGGGTTGGAATACCTAGATTGGGATTAATTACTATTAAACTGGGAATAAGCCACAATTAAAGATAAAAATACGTTTATTGACGTTTCAATTTCCACTTCCGAAATCGTTCTCAAAATACAAACAGTAAATTAAACAAATTTTGTTTTTTGTTACATAGTGAAAAATTCTTCTAATAATTTAATTTTATCTGACTCATTTATATTGACAATTCAGACATACATTATGCATTTTAAAGTAGACGACTTTAAAATGATATTGCCAATATTGTTGAGTTGCGCTTCTGGGACGACTTTACTTATAAGATAGTTCATTCGATTACATGAAATCAACTTTAACTCGAGAATATCCGTCAGAAAAAAATCATAGCATGTAATTCGTCTTTAAAAAGACAAACAAATGACATGATGACAGTAAAATTCTCCTGTTAGTGATTCCATAGTAAATTATGAGGGAAAAACCAGGACAAAAACTTAATATTACTATCCCGACATTGTAAGTATTTGTTCGTGAATTTAGATTGGGATATAGTGAAAAGCATCAATGAAGTGATTTTTCGAAAGACTGGCATATACATTAGGTACCATGTGTTGCTTTACTCTAAATGGATCCTGCTCTTCAAGAACAGTGTATTGTTACTAGTTCTTTAAAGCTTTTAAAGACTTACTCTAAAATATTTATACGATGTTTATATCAATGTAAATAATTCGGATCGTAAGTTTTATTATCGTTACTAATGATACCCAAACTAAAGAACCTCAACATTTCGAATCAAGTTCAGAGCAAAAGTCAAAAATTACAGAAAATAAATATCATTATCATTCGGTCCTGCAATTTCAGGTAGACAAGTCGAAATACTTTGTGCTTCACAATTTTTATAGTTTTTGAGAAGTAATAGTGTAAATTGAAATAATAAACCGAAATCTATAAAAGCAGTGTACAGTGGTCTGTTAATAGCTGTAAGTACAGTTTCCAAATTTGCAGTAGTTTGATTACAAACAATATTTATATTTCGTATTTATTAATTATTTAAAAAAAACTAGGTTCAACTCTTGGCATTATCTCGCTAATTGCTAGCTACAGCATATATCAAACCAGCCCATATTGGAAGCAGTTATTTTCACAGATTCTTTAAGCGCAGTACAAGGAATATTAGGGGTGTTCCCAAACCACCCAATACTATGCCAAATTAAAATTGATCTAGAAGAACTTTACAGTAAGAATAAAAGGGTAGAATTTGTTTGGATTCCATCTCATGTAGGCATAATAGGGAATGAAAAAGCTGATCGGAAAGCTAAAGAAGCCTGCTATATGAACAGACCAGATAAAGAGCTCCTAGAAATTCCTCATTCTGACATTCAAAACACCATCAACGAATTTTCAATGAGAATATGGCTCGAAAGATGGAAAAAACTTGACGACAACAAACTACAACGCATCAACCCAAATGGGATAATGCTACAAAAACGACGAGATCAAGTCATACAACACCGCCTAAGAATAGGACATACCAGGTTAACCCACCAGTACTTAATGAAGAAAGAACAACAAAAACTATGCTGTTTGTGATATTCCTCTGACAATCGAACACATTATTGTTAGTTGCCCACTCTATCACCTGGAACGACTTCAAAGTGATTTACCAAGTGATCTGAAAAGTACTCTGAACTATAGTGAATGTGATAAAGTGACTAAGTTTTTAAAACTAACTAAATTGTACAATCTAATATAAAAATAGACGTAATTTATCAATTGTAAGGTAGTTATTAGCAAACATATCATTTTATGTACAACTCTTTCCCGCCAATAACCTTTTATGGTTGACGCGGTTTACTTAATAAAAAAAAATATCATTATGTAGTTATTATCAACTTAAGCCCAATATACACACCTATACAAGTGGTTTACTATATTAAAGAGAAGCTAGATACTAAGGAATATATTAAATGCTATGCCCCCCTTAAAGACGCCGACACAGCGAGTGGTTCCTTATTCAAAATAGATATAAAATCTAAAGCCTCCATTTAATTATTAGTTAATAAGGACATTTGGCCACCTGGTAACTGGTGTAAACATTAAACGGTCTATAGAATCCTCATATTCCGAACCAACGCCTTAATTTGAGTCAAATATGAGTCGGGGCCCCGTTATCTTGGAAAATCCAAATTCCATTTCAAGCAACAACAAAAATGAAGTACAAAACACTAAAATACTCGGCGACTAGCATTCCTCTGAAAATTTAAATGAATACTTCGTTAATGTGAGTAAAAATATAACATAAAGTAGTTTGCCATAACAAGATCCAATTTCATCTCTCCCCAATTCAAAAAGGTCTCGAATTCATACTTTATAAGACCAGTTGATAAATTTGAACTGATCCAAATAATTAATAGTATCAACAGCAAATCTTATTGTAGTAGATATGCAATCCATAAAAAATTTCTCAAATCAACCAAAAAATGTGACGGCAGTCCTGGTCTCACTAATTAATGATTCGTTTGAAAAAGGTATATTACCAGAATGCCTAAAGACAGCCATTATTATTATTCCTCTTCATAAGGATGGTGAAAAATCGAATGAGAGCAACTATAGACCTATTGCCTTACTACCTGTCCTATAAAAAATTATTGAGAGACTTGTAAAAGTCCGAATTATGTCTTTTCTCGTTGACGACAACATTTTATCACAAAATCAGTTCGGCTTTTTACCTAAAAAATGTACCAGTGATGCTATGTTTGTGCTACCAGTTTGGCTGGCTTGTGCTTGAAGTTTACCAAGCACTAAACAATAATATTTACAGCGCCACTATTTTTTGTGACCATGCAAAAGCTTTTGACTGTATAAATTACGACATTTTGGTAAAAAAACTAAATTTGTACGGAATTAAAATTGATTCTTACAAATTATTTCCAATCTTACTTGTGGACTAGGAAACAACTGGTTAGAGCAAATGATACTTATTCTAGTCACATAAGAGCATTGTATATGGAGTACCACAGGGTTTAGTATAGGGTCCTCTAGTGTTCGTTTTTTTATAAATGATATCACTAATTTCAAACAGGATGAAAATATTTTTCTTTTTGATGATACCAGTATCACCTCGAACAACTCTAATGTTGCAACTCTTCATGCAACTACAACTTTTGATCTACTTACAAACTTACAATAAAAACCTGGTCCGTCGTGTACAGTAGATGTGACAGTAATGCTCCTTGTGGCACTCTAGCCTCCGGGTTCCCGAGCTCGGATAGGACTTGTCCTATCCGGGCTCTGAAACTACGATTGCTCAAGTACGAAGAGATCAGTCTTGTCATTGCTCCGCTGTACCCGTATCTTCTCATTTTATAGATCAGTCCTTTATGCCAAACTCTGTCGAAAGTTTTGCTTACGTCTAGGAAGGCAGCTCCTATAAATTGTTTATCGTTAAATCCAGCTGCTATGTACACTGTAGTCATAGAATTGACATTTCAATTTAATTTATATTTTAGGGGGAAACTGGAAGTAAATTGGTAATATGTATTAAAGGAAAATCGGAAGAAGACGGCGACATTCATGTTGTTATTCGGCAGTGTCCTGAATGTCTTCATGGCGTGATGACCGATGATAGTGAACCGTGCGATCCTTATATACCAGATGAAGATATTCAACCAGTTGAACCCAGTGTTCCGTCATTTAAAGAACCAAGTAAAGTGGAAGTAGTTCCTGTTCCACCTCCTCCTCGAGATCCGAGTCATATCTCTACTCATGAACCTTCGAAGCCAAAAATTGTCAAATCTGAAAACTCCCATCATGTCAATGTTATATTTGATCCAGATGACCCACGTCGTTCTATAGTCCAGGGTCCTAACATTAAACTTAACGATACAGTTAATTTACATCTTACAACCAGTGAGGTGAGTCGATTTAAATTACAAATCTTTTTTGTTATGTTTATGTTCTATGTTCAAAGATACTTCAGTCTTCAGAGACGAAAATTCAGTGAACCTCTAAAAATTATACGAACGAGCTGAATTTTGCAGATAATGTCAATATTAAGACTCCAAAGAATATGCAAAAAAGTTTACCACTTTTGACTTCCAGGTTAGAAATCTATACGTCGTAGAAAAAAATATTTCAAATAAAAAATGTAGCTGAGATAATTTTGAATAAAAATGTTTATTAGAACTTTTTGTGTGTAATAAACCGTTCTCTCAGAAACAACGCTTGAAGCGACCGACAATTTTAAATGTCAGTTATACACCCTAAATCAATTTTAAATAAAATTTATATCAATTCGTCGGTAAAAATTCGATATCTTTTGACCAGAGTATCTCTTTACCTTGGTAAAGGAAAGTGATAAATTTTATTGATCTCATGAGAATAGTAAAAAAAATCGGATAACGTTTATTAATTTATTGAAGAGATTTATAGAAACTGACTTTATTTGCAGCAAAATACAAAAACTGCATATGAAAGCTGTACTCTTTACCTTTAAAACGCATTTTGATTTTTGTTGATTTTACACTCTGATCAAAAGGTATCGAATTTTTAGCGTCGAATTGATAGAAATTTTATTTAAAATTTATTTAGTCGCGTCGCTTCAAGCGACATTTTTGGAAGAACGGTTTATTTTACGTAAAAAGTGCTATTGAACATTTTTGTTCAAAATTGTCACTACCTTTTTCGATACATTTTTTACAGAAATAATTTTTTCTACCACGCACAGGTTCTTCCCCTAAGTTTGTTCAACTAGGAGGTGGAGGTGGTTTTAGGGGGAAATCAAGGGCTAAGAGTAGTAAACTTTTTTGCATATTTTTTGGGTCCCAAAAATTAACATTTTCAGCAAAATTCAGCTTGTTCGTATGGAGTATAAAAAAATTTATTTATTTTAAACAAAACTAAAGCATCTCTGGCATTTGGAAATGCGAGAAAATACATTTTTTTACATATACCGATTTTGACATTTGAAATTCAATTTTCTTCAACCTAATTTTTTTGGCATTTTTCACGTGTAATCCGATGGTTTTTATTATTATAATATATCTGTACCGTAGAGGTAAAGGGTAGTATATCCATCTAGTGAAGTTTTGAGATAATGGAAAAATAAGATGAGTTCCAAAAAATTATTTCAATAATTCTTAATCTGAAGACATACGAAATTATGTACAGTCTTCTCTCTCTATAACGATATGCAAGGGACCGGAAATTCTCATCGTTATAAGGAGAGATTGTTATATAGAGAGACACAAAATTCGGTACTCTAATATTAATAATACTGTACTTAATAACCTATTTTAATTTAAAAAATGTATCAAAACGAATATAAATGAATTAACACTGTATTGTACACCACATAGATATATTAAAGAATAGTATAAACAATACAGTATAAAAAAATGACTGTACAATTAAAATAGGTGTACTATACAATAACAAAATATTGTATAGTGTAAAACATATTTAGCCATTACCAAAAAAGTGAGTCACCTTGGTCTGTTTCCTTTTCCCTTGCCACAGAACTGACCTGACCTTGTCCTAAAGATGCGTAGAATCTTTCACAGCACTCATACCGTCTTCCTGTTGCTTGAAGAAACGATGCAGTACTTTTGCCTCATCTAATGACTGCTGAGGGTTCGGAGCTGTCCGTAGGTGACAGTAAGTTCAAACTGTCTGGCTCAAACCTCAAATGGCAGGTCATCTTCATCATCAGTCAATACTTGATCTTCCAGCCATCCTGTATGTTTGATTTTTAAACTCTTGATGACACTTTATTCCATGGGCTGAAGGACACGTTGTGTTTGCTAGCAGAAAACAAAGTTTAATGTTTTGAAGATCGCACAGTAAAGGATGAGGTCAATTGTATACAAGCATAAGAATTTTTTTCCCCTTCTAGCTCGATATCCCAGTTTCTTATCGCTTCTTCAAAAATTTCCGAAGTCATCCATATACTGTTTTTTGCTTTATAGGTCACTGGTAGATTTTTTATATTTTTAAAGCAAAGTGGGTTTTTCGACTTCCCTATCACTTACAATTTTCGCTTCACCGAACCTGTCATGTTAGCAGCCACTAAAATTGTAATGCGTTCCTTAGAGAGCTTTCCACCAACACAGTTTTTCGATTTAAATTTTGAAGTTTTGTTTTTTGTAATTTTAAAAAACAGTCCAGTCTCATCAGCATTGAAAATGTCGTCTGACGCATATTGTACCTTCAGTCCAGACCACACGTTTTCTAGCCAATCGTCCATTACGTTTTTGTTAACATCGCGAGCCTCTTCGCTGATTTAACCGTAGTTGATTTTGTGCCGCAACTTCCACTTGCTCAGCCAACCCTCAGATGCCTTAACATTCTCAATTTCAAGCTCAGTTAAGTAGCCAGAGTTGACTGAGACAGCCCCGTACGGCGAACAACATCCGATTTCTTTTCACCTTTCTGTATTGCTTGAGTTATCGATAACTTTTCCTCCAACGAGAGCACTAAACGCTTTTTTGAAAACATGTTGACTGTTGACACACTGAGACACAACTCAAACTGGAAATGAAAAGTCTTTAATAGATGACAACATCTGTGTGATAACAGTTAGACATGTCGCCCGATCAATCAACCGCTGGACAATGACCTTGCCATTCCTGACTCAGATAGTCTGAACTTTAAACACAATAATACATTTGTGATCGACTATTGAACGCTGAAAAGTCATCGCTATAAAGAGAGAACGATATCGGTATAGAGAAAGAATTATTACATTGTCCTTATGATGAACCAACCAAAGTTTACTATTTTCATCGTTATAGAGGAATTATCGTTATATAGGGAATCGTTATAAAGAGAGACTACTGTATTTATATAATTGTAACGTTATATATTAGTTAATAAATATTGTCCTGTGATAAAAAATTTGTTTATATATTGGATAATATTCGGACTTAGAGTCTTTTGCCTCGGCATGTACCAGCAGATAAAACAGTGTACAAGATAGTAAGTGCCTTCTTCTTCGGGTTCCTTCTCCTAGCGGAGGTTGGAAATCATCATCGCTATTTTACCTTTGTTGGCCGCATTTCTGAATAATTCTAATGAGCTGCAGCCGAACCACTCTCTCAAATTCTTAGCCAGGACATTTTGCGTCGTCCTGGGTTTCTCTTCCCTTGTATCTTCCCTTGCATAATCAACCTCAGTAATACGTACTTCTCACCCCTCATTAAATGTCCCAGATATTGAATCTTTCTAATTTTAACAGTTTTTATGACTTCACATTCTTTCTTCATTCTTTGTAACACCTCTATATTAGTTACTTTTTCAATCCACGATATTTTATGCATTCTCCTATAGCACCACATCTCAAAGGAGTTTAATTTTTTGATTTCAGACTGCTTTATTGTCCACGCTTCCATGCCATATAGTAAAGTAGAGAAGACGTAACAACGTAGCATTCTTGTGCGAATCTCTAGATTAAGGTTACGGTTGCAAAGTAATTTCTTCAATTTTATGAACGTGTTTCTTGCCATTTCTATTCTAGATCTGATCTCCTTTACTTGATCTCCATCTTCGGTTAGCCACGTTCCTAAATATTTATATGTTTTTACTCTTTCTATTGTTGTATTATTGATGATCAGGTTATTTACATTTTGTGGTTTTTTTGAGAATATCATTGATTTCGTTTTCTTGAGATTCATTTGCAGTCCGTAACTTTCACATGCATTGTATACATGTTGTATTATGTACTGTAGATCTTCCATGTCACTTGCAAGTAAGTGCCTACATAAACTCAAAGAAAAACACAAAAAATGATAAAAAAACATTTACTCATCATCGTTATCATTTTTTTTTGGTAACAACTAAATTTCTATAGAACTCATGAAACTGACAGGGGATCTATTGTAAAAGGATTAGTAAGTGATCCTTTTTCTTCTGTGTGATCCCTTTCGGTTTTTAATATCGTAGTGGTAACTGCTCTGGAAGATTGGTCGCAGTTGCAGCTCTTCTAGCGACGTGCAATTCTTTGGGTCTAATTTCTTATCTCTTATTTCTTTGGGTCAAAAGCCTCTTTATAAAAAATTATGGTCGGTGTGTCTTTTTTTACTTGGAATTGGACTACGTTTGAAATGAAGAAATTATTATTGTCGGTATTTTTCTTTTTACTGATGAATGGGGATTGAGACTAAGCGTAAAGTACTTCAAAAATTTTAAAGTCATCTTTATCCATATTAATTACCTGAGCACCTACGGAACTAATTAATTGCTACAAATCCCAAGGCGTTACGATCTGCATTGCTGGCTGTTTTTTTTACAGATCTTTCAATTATAGCGCGCACTTGGTCAGCTTCTAAATGAGTGTGTACTCTTAGTAAATAGTTATGGTTAACTAATTTTAAATAAGGCAGATATTCAAATGCAAAAAGTACCTCATCGTTACCACAACATTGCGATTTTGACTAGGACAATTATCTGACCAAATAACCAATTCTTCCACATCAGTTTGTGATAGAACTGTCATAGCCCATTTATTTAATGCCGAGGCAATTTCATGGCCACCTCTTCCAGCTTCGGATTCATCCTAGATAAGGTAATACGATTTATTTTCTGTGGCGTCGTATATCGTGAGATTTATAGTCCATAATTTCAGCTTGTAGAAACTTTGGTTATTTGTTAAACAAGGCGTAGGCAAGCATTTCTGCAAATCACACACTAAGTTTAGTTTTTCCAGCTGATTGTCTGCTTTCCTTTTTTATCGTTTGCTTTCATTTTGTATCGACTTTCTGCTTCTTGAAGATGCTATTCATAGTTTCGCCGTAATGTTATTGTTTCTTGCTCGGAACAGTTTTTTAATTATAGCATAAACCGATCGCAACTATTACAAGTATCCACGGAAACCGATTTAAATGTTGAATTAAAATCATTATTGAAATTTTTTTTATAC